GTCCACATACTTTCTTCCAGTACCTCACAAGTGATCTTAACAGTACGTATTGATTAACAGCCAGGGGATAAAACTAATATTGCCCCGTATGAATGATGCTACCATGTTTTAACAAAAGAGTAAACATGTCAGCATGGCTTGTGTCAACTGGTGATACGTGACCTAGTTGCGCCCATGTGTTTGAGCGACGTTACAGGTAGTTGCTGAACAAAACACAGCCTATAAACCTGCATTCCACGTCTAAAAAACTCACATCACGCGTGCTTAATACACACATCCTTCGCGAGGTAGTCGTGAAAATAGAAATATTTTATGGCGGACGATTTCATTTTAAAATTCTAAATTATCATTTGAATGGCAGTTTAGTTAATCCAGCGCTTACACGGTACAGGTGTCAGTGCGTAATAAACAACATTATATACATGTCGTTGTCTATGGGATATATCAGTATTTTTCTATCATCTGTAGGCTTACACCATCTGGACATGCTCTGAGGCTCCAGCTGAGGTCTTACACACAACTGTCAGACATGATATACGTACATTTAGAATTTGTGTAGATTCTGTGTCAATCTGGAAAATGGATCAGTCAGTATTTGTAGATTGGGTCCTGATTATTCCGATTTGAACCATGTCATGTTTGCAAATGTTTTTAAAAATCCAGTCCTGCTTTGTGTGCAGTGGTTTGGATGCATGTGCGTGTTCACAGCTGATAGGTGACAGTCGGCACTGTACGTATCATGCATACGTGGTTATGTATTTGATGTCAGTCCTGATTGGCCTACTACAAACAGTGCAAGAACATAACGTACAGATGTGAGGACTGGAACTGTCCTCGTTAGTAACCAATGTTGAAAATTAAAAAGGAAACCTGAACGGAAACAGAAAAAATTCTCACTTTCAGCAATAAAAGTCCAGAAAAATCATGCTGTCGTGCAATATCATTTCCTAGGGTGTTGTGTATAAGCCTCTTGCCATCCTCCTTATACACATAAGCCTTTCTCACATCGTTCCAGTCCTGTACATAAGACTCCTTCTATCTTATTTGATTTAAACATATTTATTCAAGAGAATGGATTGGGTACAAGTTATGCCAACTTCTCTCCTATCTTAACGTGTGAAACAAACTATATGTACAGGGATAGAAAGATATATACAAAATGATATATACAATACAATGAATACATCATTTATATCCAATCACTGAACCTTTTGGAATTTGATATATATTTTTGAACTTCTTTAAAAATGTGAATATTCTACCTTAACGTGCTGTACAAAAGCCTCTTTCCATCTTAACGTGATGTACACAAGCCTATATCCGCCCTTAAACTCCTATACACAAGCCTCTTTCCATCCTTAAAGTCCTGTACAAAAATTTCTCTGCGTCCTTCTGGTCCTTTACATAAGCCTCTTTCCATTTCAACGTGATATACAGAATTCTCTCTCCGGCCTTCCGGTACTGTACACAAGTCTCTGTCCGTCCTTCCATTCCTGTACACAGGCCTCTTTCCATCTGGATGTGCTGTACATAAGTCTCTCTCCGCCCTTAATCTCCTGTACACAAGTCTCTCTCCATCTTTAAAGTCCTGTACAAAAATCTCTCTCCGTCCTTCCGGTCCTGTACAAAAGTCTCTCTCTGTTCTTCCGGTCCTGTAGACAAGCCTCTTTCCATCTGAACGTGATGTCCTCCTAAACTCATGTACAAGTACATCTTTCCATCTGAATAGTGTTGTACATAATCTCTGTCCATCCTTAAAATCATGTACACAAGTCTATCAGGGTTTATGTAAGCCTTTGTCCATCCCAATAGTGTTGTACATAATCTTTTGTCCATCCCAATAGTGTTGTACATAATCCTTTGTCCATCCCAATAGTGTTGTACATAATCCTTTGTCCATCCCAATAGTGTTGTACATAATCCTTTGTCCATCCCATCGGGGTTTTATGTAAGCCTTTGTCCATCCTATGAGTGTTGTACAGTATCCTTTGTCCATCCTATTAGTGTTGTACAGTATCCTTTGTCCATCCTATTAGTGTTGTACAGTATCCTTTGTCCATCCTATTAGTGTTGAACAGTATCCTTTGTCCATCCTATTAGTGTTGTACAGTATCCTTTGTCCATCCTATTAGTGTTGTACATAAGCCTTAGTCCTTCCCACCAGGATTGTGCAAAAGCCTCCATTCCATCAATGTTTCAAGTCAGCCTCTGTCCATTCCATCAGTGATGTACATAAGCCTTGGTCCACCATTATTGAGCATATTTTGTACAATTTCATAAGATTTGGTTTAATATATCATTATTCCATACTATTTCTGTTTAGTATATATCAGCCATTCAGTCGTCTTAGTTTTGCTTAGAACGTCCACAACACACACGTAAACGTTAACGCTACAGGTGTACCGGGTTTCCTCGTGTGTATCTGACGGTGTACACTGCGACACTCTGCATGGAGAAGTCAAGATTAGTGTCTTCTCGGAGTCATTAAACGGAAGACTGCATCCGTACAATATTCACACGTGGACAATGTCAAATGTATCAGCACGCATATAAAGACTGACTGACTGAGTTTGGTTTTACGCCGCTTTTAGCAATATTCCAGCAACATCACGGCGGGGACACCAGAAATGGGCTTCACACATTGTTCCCATGTGGGATTCGAACCCGGGTCTATGGCGTGACGAGCCAACGCTTTAACCACTAGGCTACCCCACCGCCCCCGCATATAAAGAGGCGGTGGATGGATATAATTGTTATGCTTAGGTTTCTAAACAGCGTGAGTGAGCATGGTTTTACGCCGCTTTTAGCAATATTCCAGCAATATCACGGCGGGGGACACCAGAAATGGGCTTCACACGTTGAACCCATGTGGGGAATCGAACCCGGGTCTTCGGCGTGACGAGCGAACGCTTTAACCACTAAACTACCCCACCCCCCACCCCCGCCCCTAAAACAGAGATATTGCACATTTCCATACCTATTGATTTTTTAATCAAATGTTGGCTATTTTCGATTGACTTCACGGCACACTTGTCAAAAGTAATTGGAAAATGTTTCATCAGCTAAAATCAGAAAGCACTGAAAATGACAGTGAACAATGCTGTATTAACAGTAATATAAATTCGTTGAGCATGTCAAGGTGCATGTCAAGGTGCGGATTGTCAACATAAAATGGCACGACAAAGAGAACACACACAGAGTTAGTGAGTATGTTATTACGCCGCGCCGCTTTCAGCAACAGTCCAGCAATATCACGGTGGGGGACACCAGAAATGGGCTTCACACATCGTACCCATGTGGGGAATCGAACCCAAGTCTTCGGCGTGACGAGCAAACGCTTTAACCACAAGGCTACCACACCGCCCTGAACGAGTTTAGAACTGAGCAATCATTTAAGACACGGATGATTGAGGGAATAAAAGAACTGAGGACTATACGTGTCTTAAAACATGGCAATAAATATCGCATTGCATTCAGAAAATAGAAGTGCATGTTTTAGGTGTTTGTTTTTGCTTTTTGTATTTTTGTGGGGTTTTTGTTTGTTTTTTCTTTGTTTTGTTTTGCTTTTCTTTTTGTAAAAACAATACTGATGGACAAGTCAAAATTAAATTCAAATTGTTATTAATACCCTGTTTCATTAAATTCCGTTAGTGTAAATCGTTAATATCGTTTGAATATATCCGTATTGGGAGATTGCGTAACGCTAAATCCTTATCTGTAAATATTTTTCTTAAATCTTTTTAACATTATACATTGATAGATTATTGAATCATATCATCTTATCTGCAAAAAATATATCCCTATATGTGGGATTAAACAACTTAAACAACATGCTCCAAAACGTCAAAGGTTTGGGGTATTTTGAGAGAAATGTTCAATGTTGAAACATTCATTGTAATTGAAAATAATAGCCTTCATAATCATGACAAAAAATGTGAATCTATATTCCGAACTCAACAATAAACCTAGACACACTATTGGTATGTATTTCTGTTTGTCCAACAGAGCACGAATGAGCTTTTCTATCGTATTCACATGGTACACAACGTCCACGCTATACAGGGTTCCTGTGAGACACACACAAGGAGTGTACGTAACACCCACAAATATATACTTGTTGTGTATTACAGGTGTATATTGCCTTGGTAAAAGATGTTCTATATGGGTATTTCAGTGCTAATATATGTTGTGTTAATTGATGTTGACGCTTAAACTGTGCTTAAACTTTGCTTTGAACACTGTCTTTTAAGTCACGTACGCCTGTCATGGCACATTTGAAAGATGCTTCAACAATCCATTGGTTTCATTTATTTAACACTGAATGAAATCATTTAAAAAATAACTATATTTCTTCAATTATCAAAAATCATTCGACTTCGTGGATAACAACTTCCTTATTATTGCATATAGCGATGTGGATTCTTACAGCGTTTTAGCTTGAAAACGGTGTAAGATTATATATATCTGCTGGGAAATACATTATATATATGTTGTGATTTAACTTGATAGTGTACAGGCTGATACTCGACAGCTAAGGAATTACGACAGGAATGTTCTCGTTGCACTAGGAAATGTTCACACAATGATAAACCACAAAAGGAAAGGACTGTATAAACGTAATGCATGCACATAATAACTTAAAATTGCATTCTTTTGTGTTAAATATTGAAATAACATAACGTCTGTGTAATATGCTGCAGTGTGCAAAATAGGAAAACTAAATATACATTCACGTTGAGGAGATCCTGATTACCGCATAAATTAAAACACACAATAAAGCGAAGAAAATTATGCCCGTCGTTGATATAAATTAAAGTAAAGGACAGGGGATGTGGGATGTTTAACAATATCAATTTAAAAAATATCTGTGGTTATAAATTATTGACGCAATTTTCGTTGGATTATTATTTATCGTTGGTGTGTAAACATTCGCTCGTAGCGACCCTATGACCCTGTGACCTCAAGCTCGGGAACGAGGTCGTTCAAATCTCGTTGAAGTCTCTCGGACTTGCCGCATGACGAGATGTGAAGGAAACCATTAGTAGCAACATTGTGATTATCTGTTTGCGAGTTTGTATGCCCTCAAAACAACACTTTAAGTGAGATCACTTCATTGGATACATATATTGGGTCAATCTTATGACATCTGTCTGTTACATGGAGTAGTCAGCGGAGCATAAATTACCATTTGGAGAAGTGAAGTGCGCTGTCAAGTGTATCCACGGATTGTCAATTTGCAATGCATCAGCAGAGGCCATGTTCAAAACTTGGAGCGAATCAGCGATTATGAATTAGAAAGTCGGATTCATATTCACTTACAGGATCGCGGCGATATCGCCTGCGATAGAAAATACCATCATGTCTGCGAAGGTTGCCGATAGAATCGACCCTTTCACCAGTAAGGTGTCTATCAAATCTAAAAAACAGAAACGGTCTCAGGGTTCATCGCATTATCGGACTAAAAATGCCCCTGAGTTGCAGGCTTTACCTCATCTTAAAGGTAAGGGTTAAGTGTGGATCTTAAAAATTGTTATGCCGTCAAATTTACACTTTGTATACTTCTCACATGTTGATATGTCTGATTAATTTATGATATTTCAGACCGGTGCCATTGGCATCATGGCCGGTTATAGTCTGTTTCAAGCGGTATTTTACAATAACATAACTGAGTACCTGAAACAATTTAATCATTGTATTTTCTGAGTTTTGTGTCGTCGGATCAAATTTGGTTGGTGTGAGATAATTTGTTGATACCAGTTCTATCTCACAATTATCATTATTATATATATTTGTACCGCGGCACCTTTCTGAAATAGACTTTAAGAAAATGGTTCCAAAATAGCATTCTACGCCATTTTGGCTATGTTAGTATGCAACAAGTACTTCAGAAACATCTTGATGTGAATATTAGAAAATTGTGAATGCATTGTATGGACCATTGATATGTAAAGAATTGTGAAGTCATGAGATAGATATTCAAAGTATCATAAATATACATAAATCTTAATCATTTGTTGCATGTTTACATTAATAACACAATATACAGGTGTCAGTCTTTTCTGTCTTAAATGTCATTGAAGCGTAAGTCAGTTTTGTTCATATTAATCACCTTAAGTACATGTTAGCAGCGTGATTAATCAGTATTTTCATTATTCACCTGTTGTTATGCAGCACTTAAATACCTTTCAACTTTTCCAATCCTGGATAAATTACAACTATGCAAGTATTAGGAGATTATTAAGACGCAAATGTATCAAGATATTAAGGAGAATTATGATGAGTTTTGGATTACAACTGTTCTTACTTATAAGTTGTAACAATACATGTATTTAAGGGGATGACTACATACAGGAAACAGACATTGCAGAGGTATTTAGCCTGGGTTTGACACAATCCTAATCACTGAATCTACTAATCATAGGTTTAAAATAAAATGCTATAATCCATCACTTAGGTACACTCATGCCTCAGGCTATATTGGGTGTAATACTTGTCCATGTCCACACTTCAGTGATTTACATTACTGCACGACTTTGAAGAATATAACAGACATTGATATTATGCCACAAAATAACATTTCAAAAGCTCTGCTTAAATTAAACATATGCTCATCCACAAGTACCCGACATTTTAAAGTCCTATTCTATTATGATAAGGGACCGTTCATAATTTATGGCTAGGGGCTTGATGATGATTTTTATGGAGAGGCATGTACAATGTGAATGATCCCCGTTAAAATTTATGTACAAAGTAAGTGAACCCCCCTGTATGTCATGTACAAAATCAGTTACCCCTCCAATAATTTTTAAACATAATTTTAAAATATTTTTATGTACAAAATTGCTGAAACACACCACACCCCACATCCCCACCCCTACCCCTAGTACATGTGTACAAAATTGATGACTCCCCTATTTCCCCAGAACAAAATGGGTGGAACACACACACACACACACCCCCTTCAAAATCATCACCCCCTAGCCATAAATTATGAACAGTCCCTAAATACCCATAACCCATTTGCCACTATGTCCTTATTGATATCTGGTCTTATAACTGTCTAACAAAAGACTTCCCACCCTTGTCTCAGTACTCTGGAAATCATATCCTTCATCTAAAAGTTAATTGATATTGAGATGATTGAGGGCATGCTTGGACGAGGACATTATTTTGCATTTCAATTTGATCTATGGCAGGTTAGAATTAATCTTAATCTGTGCGAAAGTACCCTTGGGGTTTCCAGGTTAGAAAAAGTCCCCAGCAACCTGTTCTTTATATTGGAGGTGACAAACTGGATTAGTTTTAGACTCTTGGTGACTTGGTTTATCAGACTGATGGCATGGTTCATTGCTCATAATGCTTAAGTAGCAGTCACAATACATTTGGTCCAGACATATCTGTCATATACTTTGATCATATTGTCTGCAAAAAAACAGTGTGACATTAAACAACAAATAACTATACCAAACATGCTTTGAGAAGAGGCATTTCATTCATTCATCCAGTGTATATTTATAATATTAATTGTTTAAGTTATTTTGAAATCTCACAAATGAAATTACTTTTGGCTTACGTTAATATGAACATTAGGCATGTTAGGAAAAGGTATTTTGTTATTTAATAGGTTGAAAAAGAACAGGTGGCATAATATACTTTGTCAAAGATTTTGTACATAAGTTGATACTGATGATGTCAGTCATTCAATTGTCAGGTCCATGTTTAGTTTGTTACAGATGGTCTTTATATGGCTGAAAATGAATAAGTTAAGCATTTGAAGTGAAACTTTTATTCAGAAAACAATTGCTTATGCTTACTTCTCTGACATCCATGGAATCATGTCTCTCTAAGCTGTGTGAAAAGAGAACTACAGAAAACAACCAGCAATTTTCCTATCAGCATTATCTATTTTCTTATTTGCCAGTGGTATTGGTATGTTCAGTATATGATGTACAGAAGGTTTCACATTTGAATCATCTATTAATCACGCTAATGCCATCTGTTCCAAACAAAGTTTCTAGTCATCAAATGCTGGTACTTATTAACAACATAAGTTTTTCACCTAATTAGCATGGCATAATGTCTTTCCAATACTATAGCTTTCTTCAATCACCAATCCTCTTGTAACTCACAGATGAGCGGATAATAAGATAGAAGCACATGCTATTTCATGTTATCTGATTGAAATCATGATCATTTTGAATTTAATGATAATATGCATTTTGGGTGTTTCTTGAATTCATATTTTGATATCTGGGAATTCTGAAAACACACATAACATTTTCAAAGTATGCTTCAGAGTCAGAAATTAGGCAATTACATTCCCTAAATTGGAATATACACTTCCATTACATGGTGGCACTGGCACTGAACTGACAATTGGATTGGCAATTTAAGAGTAAATTCATTGTTTTAGTTAGGCAAGTCCCTAGTCCCTCGATAAAGTTATAACTTATAGTTTAATGAATCATAAATGCCTTGTATGCATCGTCCTAACAGCTTGTATGTAATGCAACTACCAGTTTTGTTTCTTTTCATTACAAGGGGGGTGACTGTGAAAAAGCAGTTTCTCGCTTCCCTTTGAAAACATGGTAAACTATGAAATAAAAATGTCTTTTGAACAGAACCGTTGGGATCTGAAATGGAAATATATGTGAGTTTAGTAGCCATACTGTGTAGTTGGAAATACATGTTGGTAGGAAATGCGGAATGATTATCCATCGGAATGTTTAGATTGATTCCTATATCAGGTGTTTTCTTTGAACCACTGACTTACATCATGTTTTAATACTGACAGACTAAGGCAAATAACCCAGCTAATAAGCCTTTTAAAATGACCATTAAAAGTGTTGAAAAGACCTTGAATTGTAGTGTTTCAATCTGTGTAAACCTTGTATCAGTAGATTTTAATGTTATTATTTGGACTACTATTTTCATTTGAACTTACTAGACCAAACAAAATTATATTAGACAGGGGTTCCAGATTAATGGCTTAAGTTACAAGCGATTATCATTGCCAAAGATGATGCCATAGTGTGGTATGGTATTTGATACCATACCACAAGGGTACCCCACGAGTTGGTTGCTCACTGTCTTGTTTGATGGTATTTCCAAACATAGAACATGGAAAGATAGCATTAAGCTGTAATTGTTTGTTGAGTCTAGCAGATGTATTAATGAAATATCTACCATTTCAGATACTCCACCTGGGGAACAGCAGGAATTGTTCATCAAGAAGCTTCAGCAATGTTGTGTTGTGTTTGACTTTATGGACCCTGTGTCAGATTTGAAGAGTAAGGAAATTAAAAGGGCCTGTCTGAATGAGTTAGTGGATTACATCACAGCTACACGCAATGTTCTCACAGAGCCTACGTATCCGGAGATTGTTCGAATGGTAGGTATCTGATGAAGTCCTAGTACTGAGTGATTCTGTGTTACGAGATACATGTTTGTTTCTTTTGGGTTTATTTATCCCATCAGATTAACATAGTCTACACATCTGTTGGTCATATTGTGTAAATGTTTATGACTTCGGGAGGCAATCCCTTCTTGCCTGCTAAACAATGATATGAATTTGTATTTAATGGTACAGATATGAGGAATATGAGCTAACATGTAAGGGTAGGTCTAGGGCTGGGACGATTCACTGACGCACCAATTCATCTCAATACATTAAAGTTTGATACAGTTCGTATCATCGACAGGTGTGTCGATACAAAACGATACACGACTTTTAAAAAAACCAGTATTATCTTAAACATGATAAAGTACATATTTAGAGAAAAATACGCAAGTATGATAGAGTTGCTTGTTTGTTTATTACAGTAGTGTTTTTATTATACACAAATACCTTGAAATAATCATCTTAAATCTTAATACTGTGTCATTCTTTCAAGGTGTATGTATCATGATATGTATCATATCGCATATGAAATATCGCGATATGTATCATACCGTGCAATAGTGTATCGTCCCAGCCCTAGGTAGGTCGCCTGTTCAATCCTCTGGCTGTCATAGCAAATGCTATTAAAAAGATTGTACTTGTTGTTACCCTGCCTGGCACACATCAAGGGGATTATAAAGCAAGGACTAGTGGGTCTTGAGTTGGTACTATATGTCGGAGTGGTGTATCCGTGTTTACAAGCAGCCTAGCACTATAAAACCACTGTAAGTCTAGACTAGTACTAGCAGTCATACATACACATGCACTTGTTATACTAATGCTTAGTACCAGAAAATATATACTTTTCATAGTAACAAACAAATCTTATTTGTATTGAAAAGGAGCTACTATAATATGGGAGATTAAGAACCTGAATGCATGGAGAACCTAGGAATGCTTTAATTTGGGCTATAGCTTTACAGTTAGGGCTTGGCGGAAGGGAAAATAATAATGTTCGTCGATTGGGAAACAGAACAACATATTCAACCTGTATTCACATGGCTATATAAGTAAAGTAATCTTCAGTGTGGCATTAAATATCATTCAACTCTCTCTCCCAAATACTGCATATTATCTTAATTGTCCTTGCACAACAAAATGTGGTATGTAGATGATGAGGGCATTGTTTAATGGGCTCAACTGTATGTATGTCAAGCACAGGGTGGTACTTAACCCAGGCATTCAGTGGGTTTAAAAAATTTCCGGCTCTAAAGGGTGTGTTGTCACTATTCAGGATAGTAAAAGTTTCAGCTTAGTTTCTATTGCTCCAAAACTCTCTCTTCTAAAGTTCAGTTTGATTCCTATTCTATATATAAAGAAAGTGCTGCTTTGGTTGATGCGATGCCCAGTATTCACTCTTCTCAGACTAGAAAAATTGTGGACTATCACCTGTGGACATTTACCATTAGGTGGATGGTCACTTGTATACCTGATATTTGCAGATTAGTTTAATATCATTTCTTTCCCTATTACCACTGGCTGACACACCTGTAGACATTTGTCTACTTCCTTTGTGATATTTTGTTGGTTTGAGATAGCAATTCATGCATTTTCTGTTGTGATGATTTAATCAAACTGGATGCAACTGTCCACATATGCCAATCTCATCAAAATTAGATCTTTCACTCTGATGTGGTATATAGTTCAGGTTTAAGATGTGAGGACACCTTCATAGAAAGTCACTTCAGGTGTACTCTCTACACAGCCAATAAGTGCAGAGGCTTCTGTCACTACAAGGGATGTCATGGATATTTTGTACACCCATGAGCAACATGGCATCATCACCGGAAAGGGACGAATGAAGGAATATATATGTTCTGTAGGGGTTTCATTTGTAGAAATTTGGAGTTATAACAATGACCCCATGACTTTGATGAATAATTTCTGACACCTGGATATACATGTCACTTTGAGCCTGTGACTGTTCTACTGTAATGCAGGTTCTGTTCTGCTGTCAGATCTTTTAATATGTTATTTCTCACTGCTTTGTCTCACTGCAAAGTTGGTTAGAACTTTTTTATCAGTCACTTCCAGCAAAGGTTAATAAGTATGACTCTAATAATTGATATTCCTTGATTATGTATTCTTGACTAAAGGATCCATCATGTGTAGCTGTGTTATTTAATGCTTGAGGCTGATGTAGCATAGCTGGACATAATTGGGTGTCTATCATTGTCTATATTTAGCTTTCCTTTGCAGATCTCCTGATTCATGATGATATGATTGTCAAGTAATGTTTTGTATAGTTTGTAGGATACAATTTAACATATAAGTCACAAATAAATTTATCTCAAGTACCATTAGTTTGGGACATGAGTGGTCATACTTTGGCAGTCAGTGAGTTGATTATGTTAAGTCTTCCCAGCTTTCTCACTAACTACATATTTATGACTGCAATATTTAAATTAATTTAAATTAAATTCTGAAAGATAAACTCATTTATCTGTCTATCTGGTTCATAGCCTGTTGAGTTTATGTCTTCCATATTTGGCATAATAATTGGACAGGACATACTTAAGCCCAGGGGTTTATATGACACGTAATTCCAGTGTATTTGCCTCAATAATTTTGTAAATATTTTCCAAAATGTTTGTCCTATCTGACACCATTTTTTTCACATAAATGTTTTTTAATCCAAGTAACTCTACTAAATAAGCACTTTTCTGGCTGTAAAATGCAATAGGCAAAAATATAAGCCATGTTTTCACAGCCCTTGATTTATTTAGAATTAACAATAGAATTACTTTGTTGACCCAATGTTTTTAGTCATTTTAACTCCTATTTTTCAAAGTCTATGTAAACCTGTGCTAAACCAAACATAGCTTTGTTATTAGAAAACTTTTTTCAGTCATCGATGAAACTAAATATTGTCTATGTTAGTTAGTTTTCAGTTATATACTGCTTTGCTTTCTGTGGAAAAAGATCTAATATACTCATTTAAAAATACACACTTATTTAAAGTTAAATTCTTAGTATGGGGCACTTTTAAGAGTTTGCTCAAAGGTTGATCTAGAAGTTGCTCGGGGGCATGTATTGGAATAGGGCACTTAATATTGCAAACATTGCTATTTAATTATCATATTTAATTATCAACTGACTTGTATCATTCTGAAAGAACATTAATGAAAAAGGTCAAGGCATCTTTGTTATACAGCTAATGTTAAAAGATATATTTATAGAAGAGTCCCAAGGTTACATGGTGTTAATTATACTTTTAGCTATAGAAATATATAACATATGTCATCAAGCTGAATGTATGCATGAATCTGTACAGTAAGCATGATAATGAAATCTCTGATCATATTGGGTGTGATCATATAAGGTGTGATGAACGTCAGTATTGGATAACTGGTGCTAGTGGGAAAGAAGGCTCTTTCTAGGTTATACTTGATACATATTTTCTCATCCAAAAACAGGTACATAATAGCTTTTATGAAATGAGTCTTGGCGTTTGATACTGAAGAATGTGCAGCACATTCATCATAATGCTCATAATAATTTAGTTGGGTGTCGACAAATACGACCATGACTCAAGAGGTTCAGTATGATTCATATAATTTTGTTTGATCCTCGAGAGTTTGTTTTCCTGTACTACGTGTTCATGGGGAAATAGAGCAAATGTGTGCAAATGTATGCCCCAGACCTGACAAGAAGGAAGGTACCTACTAGGCTCTCTTTGTATGTGAGAATGCATGAGTGAGGGGTGGTAGGAGAAGTTGGTGGAGGGATGGAGTGTAATAGAGAGCTAATACCTATGTATATTGTCTTGATGAGCAAGAAATGGGATGGTGATTATAATGAACAAGAAACATGACTTTCCTTCACTGTGAACGATAGCACAATTGGAAACTAACATCACTTGTTATGAAGGCATCAGGGCAGTCACTGAAATGTAAACATTGAAAGCTGGTATATTTACATGAACCTGCAGACTAGCTTTCTTTGTTTTGAGGTCAAGTTGACTTCACCCCTCCCCATATAGGGCAATGGTTGACCTATTTAACATTCCTTCTTTGATCAGATGTTGTACTTGTAGACCAACATGCAGTTGGTACAGGAATTTACTGTCTTCTTTGATCAATGTGACTATGCATATGAATCAAAATGTCTGTATACCCAAGGCAATATTCATCACTGCACCATAAGTCAAAGATGTGTTTGTACCTTGTCATATTATTTCAATGCTACTAATTTTATGAAAATATTTTCCTGGTCTTTGTTACTGAAAAATAAATACCCAGTCTGTGCGAGTATGAGTATATACCCCTAAATCAACAGGGATTCCACTTCACACTAGTCTGCTTGCTCAAATCTATTTTTATCATGTTAAACATTTTATGGTATTGTAAGGGCTAAAAAATTCAAATGTTTGAGCGGTTGTGTTGAAATATTTCAAATAATCCATCTTCACAGAGAAAATAATTACATGTTACTGCATCCAAATGCTAGGTGCTTATCCTTGAAAATATGTATGACCAGCCACTTGTGATCTATATGGACGATGGGCTCTCCGAAGTTATCCAACTTCATGATGTTGCCTGTGGACCATATATCTGAAACCAGGCACTCTGCTTTGACAGGTAATGAGTAACTTGTCCCTGAAGTGTTTGAATCAATCTCAAGGTCTGCCCCTGTTGTATCAAACACTCAGTATCAGGATGCAGCAACTTGTGAACAGGATTCATGAACAATCTAAATGTCACATGAGTTGTTCTATTTCCCTGCACAGTCCTGACAGGTTGGCATAACAGTCTTCAAATGTATGTTATTTTTCTTCTTATGAGAGTATATTTTTATTTTCTGTTCATTTGTCAAGGGGATGGTGTAGTAGCCTAGTGGTTAAAGTGTTCGCTCGTCACGCCGAAGACTCGGGTCGATTCCCCACATGGGTACAATGTGTGAAGCCCATTTCTGGTGTCCCCCGCCATGATATTGCTAGAATATTGCTAAAA